GAATTCAGCTGGCGTCTTGGCTTTCCATGCCTTTTTACACCTCCCTTTCTTCATGTGTTCAATACTTTTTCCCTGTGCCATTCCACGTTATTACAAATAACTTAATTTCTGAACATTTATGGTTTGATTTCTTTGTATGAATGGATCACTTGGGTTGTTACCAACATCTGGTGAAAATTTCATGTCATTAGCACCTCTAGTAATGTATTTACTGAGAAAAATGGTGACGTGTTCAATACTTATTTTACCCGCTATCCTTCTGTGGGCTTTCTATTACTTCCATTCATTTTTTGGAAATTTTATATCCTAACTCTGACCATTTACCCTAACATTAACCTCACAGGTACTACCTGACCCTAAAACTAACCTAAACTCAACTCATACCTTGGTCCTAAACCCAACTCCCGACCCAAAATCAGTCTCTGAAGTCGTGGGGACCGGGCTTTGGTCCCCACAAGGAGCATCTGGTCCCCAAGAGGCTGCATTTTCCTGAAAAATTGTCCCCACCAAGTAGCCAAAAAACTAGGGTACACACACACCCTTCAAGTTAATCCCGTCACCCACTCGTCATTACAGCACCACTCATATGTTTATATCATTTTTCACTCTTTATGCATTCAACATATTGATTTAATTCAATGAGCCAGCAATGAATTCCTAAAATAAATTGAATGCTGTGTTTGTTTTGTTTCACAATCCCATCATTTTACAGATAACATTTAGGATCAAGTGGTCATCTTCAAACTTTTAGTTTCCATAATAATGCTGTGGCTTTCCTGAGATCAAAGTTCAAACAATCCAATCTAAATGGAGAGTAAAAAAAATCTGACTGCATGATTTCTCCTTGTTCTATGAAGTAAAATCCTAATTCTGGGATTTTCAGTAATAATTTTTTTTGCTGTTGACACTGTTTGCAGTAGTTTCTTTATTAGTTAGGTTAAACAAACAAGGCACAAGAGGTAAAACTTAATACATTTGATAGTTTAATTAAATGAAACACGTTTTTAGGCGACTCGGGAAAAAAAATCTTTAGTCTGATATACAATAATTTTTTTTTACAAGTTGAAGTTATTTCAAAGGTGATTCATATATGGCAACCATAAATCCTCTGGATAAAATGTCATTTATTATGTTGAGGGTTTTAAAGATTTAAGATGAACTGTTGGTGTCAGACATTGAAATCAAGCATCATAAAACAAGCTTGGACTCCCTCTCAACTACAGACCAGTCACACATTTTATTTTTGTATTATTTATTTATTTTTTAATAAAGAGATCAAGGCTAAAATAAAAACTCTGAATAAGTTTACTTTCTTCTGTTTTAACTGTAAGAAGACAGATACAAACTTGAATTGGGTTTCCACCACAGCTGATTGACCATAGCTCACAAAATATAGCTTCATCAAATTTACAGACAATGAGCTAAAATCTAACTTGATAGTAGTTCGGAATTTTCTCAACAAGGAATTTTATTCCTTTTACTCAGAAATGTTTCAGGTAGTGGGGAGTGCAAACTGTTAAAATGAAGTTAGATAGTTCAGATTTAAGCTTCATAAAGTGGAAGAAATAATAGAATAGAATAGAATAGAATAGAATAGTCAGCCTTTATTGTCCCGCGTGGGGAAATTCAGGTGTAGTAGCAGCAGCAAACACATGCATCGATCCACAGAGACAGCATATTGCTATCTGACAATATCAACTGGAGCAATAATAGTAGAAATTTAAGACAGTAACATTAAAAAATAAACATAGAACAAAATAAAAGTAACAATAATCATTACTGTAACGGGCTATTAAGATGAAATTTGATAAAATGAAAACAAGGCAAGATACTGTAAAGAAATATATAAATTACAGGAAAAACAGTCATGACAGCTTTAAAACATACAGTATTTGCTGTATATACTGTATTTTGCATGAAGAGCCTCTCCTTTGCTCTTTGAATCTTTCCCAGCACTTCAGCTGACTCTTCCTGTCCATCACTTCTTTATCTGTTTTTCCTAATCACTATCTCGGCCACTCTCCTCCATCTCCCTGATTATCTACTGTAACCTAGTGTCCTTTTCATCACATCCTCCCTCACCTGCTCATTGTGCCTGTAGCATGTTTGTAAGTGTGTACTTGGAAAATAGGATTGTATTATATTACTTGGTCATCCAATGTTTTTTTGTAGCGAACGGAAGACACCCACAGTCACACAACTCAAAGCTTTTTCTAAGATAACCTTGACTTATCTCTAACTTATCTCTGCTTTGATCTTGTATATTGATGTTGAACAGTCAGTTACAGCCATAGAGTTAATGTACTATGCATGTTAAAAGGTAGGACTTTAAAACAACAGCATCAAAAATATTTAATTCAGCAGTACGGTATGTTACACACTCAAAACTATGATTGCTTGTTTTGTAATTTTTTTAAATTTATATCTAGCCTGGCCCTTGCCTTCCTACTGTAATGGAACTAATACTTTTACGTTTAAGCACGTAATTCATGACATCCTTTAATGA